TTTTTTTTTTTGTAAAATGTGATTTTGCTGATATATAGAGTCTGCTTTCTCTTTTATTTATTTGGGCTGAGGGGGATTTTTTGGGGTAATACACAAATGTTGAAATTCCAAACCTTGGCTAGCAGTAGATGTATTCATTGATGATAGATTTTTGTTCTTAGTTATTGTCTAAGTAACATTGACACTGGTACGTGTCGGTGTCTGACACTAGTACGAAGTATCTGACACGGCAAGATATCAAGAAATGAGAGTTCCTAACCTAAAAATATGTATCCGGCCATCCTTGTGTCTGTGTATCCGACACGGATTCTTTATAAATCTGGAGTATTTATATTACATAGGTTATTGTTCATTTGAATGACAACAATAAGACAGTTTTTCATGACATTTCCTTGGATTTTGACTTTTTTCATGGCAAGCATTTTTGTATGGTCTTCTGTCTTCATTCACTGGCTGAAAGTATTCCCATACAACCTCTCCATGTTCTCTGTTTTGTAGGTAGTTTGCATTTTTCAATGTAATTTTGATTTTGTGTTTGCTACATGTACCAAGAAGTGGGTGTGGTAAAACCACCAATGCCTACGATCTTGATTTGCCAATGTGGCTGTAGCTAAATTCAATCAGATATTCAGATGTTTACTGGCCGATTGTTGTGAGTTTCAATCTCTGTCGACAGATCTGCTTAACGAAAATCTTACACCACGTCACCACTTAAATCTTAATTAATGTGGTTGTAAGAGGAGAGAGTGGGGGTGGATGTAGAGGGACATATTATAGATTTTAGCCTTCCCTTCTCTGATAAAAAAGTTACTTTCCCGACAGTCTGTGTTGCTTGCCTGCAGTTTAATGTCAGTAGGTGTCTACATCTTTGATTTTGATGTTAACTATAGATAACGGACGGAGGGAGTCAATTGTTTGACCATCGAGCTGTTTCTCTTGTAGCTGGCCGAATGAAAAGATTTTAGCATATGTTATTTATTATGAAAAAAAATTGAAGGACTTGATCGGCAAACTTTGACATGATTTGTGCTATTATAAACATGAACTGTATTAAAGAAACATGAAAGGGAAGGGTGGAAAACAGCAAAGATGAATAGCTGAAGGTTTTTAATAATATGATGATAAAATTTTGGACCAGGTAAGCTTACATGGTTGAGCACAAGAATCACAATAAAATAAAAATCATGGAACAATTAATTAAATGTCCATGTTTATAATCAATTATTGTACATCTTATTATACATATTTTCGCCAGACATTGGTTTTAGCCTAAGCAAAAATATTAAATCTGAATAACACCATAGCTACTTGCCTATCTACCCATGAATGGATGGCTAATGTCACAATTAAGTAACAACCATTTAAATTTAGCACTTGATCTCGCCATGCTATGTGCTGGTTCAATCAGGGCGAAAAACGTGATAAACATATTGCTCACCAATGTTGTAGATGCTGTAGTTGGTAGTATCTCATATAACCTTTTCAGGTTGGCTTCGTTTTTTGTGTCAATTCAGACTCTGATCCATTTATTGGCTCTTATTTCTTTCCTCTCAAGGATATTCCACATGACACTTACAACTACAGTTTTTTTTTCTATGTCAATGGGCATTCGCCATAAACCATAGCTTGTATTACAAGTGGCTTCCACAGCCACATTGGCTCATTCAGATTCTCTGAGCACAAACTTCACATATAACTTTACTGCTTCCTGGACCATTCCCCACTCTTGCCTCCACTTTTGTGTTCAAGTTGTACATGCATGATCTGTATGTCTTTCGACACAGCTTTGCACATGTCGTACATAGTGAGACCAGCAATGGTAACAACAGTCATTGCTTCCATTTCAACCCCCGTCTTACCAGTGGATGCTGCCTCCCCTTCTATCTCAACGCTAAAATCCTTTTCATTTAATGTCAGATCAACACGAACATGAGTCAAACTTATATTGTAACATAATGGAATGAGGTTGCTAGTTTGCTTTGCCCTATTAATTCCTGCGATCCTCGCTACACTAAGGACATCTCCCTTAGTAATCTGATTAGCAGATACCATATCAAATACCTTCTTCCCTAACATAACTTTACAACTTGCGATGGCAACCCTCTTGCTGATTGCCTTGGAAGAAACATCAACCATCTGAGTTTCCCCACTGCTGTTAATGTGGGTAAGACCTTCTACATGTTTGCTAACTTGGGGTAGGACAAAATGAGGCTCATGAGCTATTGGCACGTTGTTCATAGAGCTTAAATCGCTACTAGAAAGAGCGGCACTAAAGACGGACTCCATTTCCTGGAAAACAAACATATGAAAAGAGAAAAGAAATCGGCTAATTTAAATGAGGTAACAATAATTCGGAACAAAAAAAAAAAACAGTAATTCAGATTACGTAGGAAAAAGGTTTGTGAATAAGCCAAGGTTTGAAAGTAGCACAAAAAACAATTAGTTGGATTACGTAGGAAAAGGGTTGTGGATAAGCCTAGGTTTGAAAGTAGCACCAAAAACAATTAATTA